AATTAAGCGGTCACATTTTTCATGTAATTTATGTGCAACTAGAATAGTATTAGCTCATAGTAATGGAAAATCTGCTCTAAAGCTACACAAGCTGCTCTTTAGACGGCCAAAGACTTAAACACCTGGGTAATCACGCATGCACAATCATACTGCCTCTAAAGCACGGGTAGGGATTTCAATTCATGGCGGTCCGGTGACCAAATGTTTCTGGGAGCCGAGGTCCAAATCATGGTCCAGACAGAACGTGTCCGGACTGTGGTCCACCATTTAGGCTGCATTCACATCAGCAGCTGCACTTCAACCAACAGCTGCTGGTGTGTTTTCCCAGACACAGTGCTGATGCACCAATCACAGCACGTCACACTTTTATTTTTTGTTAGAACTTTATTGGAATTTCACAACCGACATTTCATTAAGTTCTATAGGCAAAGCGCAGTGTGATGCAGTTTTACTACATCACATCTGACTTCAATGAAAAGAGTACAGCATCCATCAGAGTGCCCCCTTACATCAGTTGTCACCATCAGCTTGCTCTCTTATAGTAAGTGCCCCCATGAGAGTGCCCCCTTACACTAGGTGTCCCCATCAGTGTAAGGCCCCATTCACACTGAGGGATTTATCACGCGGTAATTCCCGCAATATCGCGGCTTTTTACCGCGTGATATCGCTCTCCAATGCATGGCAATGGGGCCTGGTCCATTGCTGTTGCGGGTCGTGCGTCGCTACAGCAGGACCCTTTTTGGAGCGGATTTTGCCGCAATTCTAGCTTGCTCAATGCAAGCATTTGCGCTATATCGCGCGATTTGCGAATCGCTCAATGTGAATGGGGCCTTAGAGGGCTATATGCACATGCAGCCCTTACATTGGAGGTCCCCATGAGAGTGCCTCCTTACATTAGATGTCCCCATAAGAGTGCCCCCTCTTAAATACAAAAATAAGGAAGCACTGTGATGGGGTCACACAATATAATAATAAGTGCCCCCTTATTTTTGCAATTAATGTTAGGGGGCATTCCAATGGGGAAATCGAATATAAAAGGGCACTCTGATGGTGGCAGCTCATGTAAGGAGGCACGTCCTCCCTTTATGCTGGGCAGGGAACAAAGCTTATGTTATTGGTTGCTAGGAACGCTGCGGTCCAAGCAACCAATGACTGAGAAGGAGAGGGGTGCTGTTGTGGGTTCCTGTATAGGAGATGCGACAGGAAATCTCCCCAAATCCAGGAGAACTCCCATGTGAACCCATTCCCGCCAGAACATTTGCCTTTACATACACTTTTAAAGCTGCACTTACCTTTTGAAATATGGGTCAACTTTCTGAAATTTTTCCTCCTGCAATAAAAGAAGACTTCTGATAAGGGATAATAAAGTACAGAATGTGCATGTAGCAAGTCCTCTGTTGAAATTCTAAAAAGAATTCTAAGCCAATTGTGTTACGAGAGTTTATCAGTTAAACAGCCCTTGAGCTTCAGGGAAGAGATTACACTTCAAGATCCATCCCCGGAAAGCACATGGGACGAATGATGTTATCCTACCCTACATATAGAAATATTTCTTTCTCGTCAATTGAGGGACACAGGAAGTATTTCACCTTTGGGTTATACCGCCACCTACAGGAGAATGGAACACAAGAAAACCCCTCTTACTATCCAAAATGCCTCAATTTTTTTTGCTAGTGTCCTGGGGGGGGTGTGGGGTGGGGTTCGGTGTTGACGCTGCTTGTGTCTAGATCCACCGTGTGCATAGTAGAAAGCCACAGCAGGTTGTGCTCACAAACTTGTGCGCCTGGAGCTCTGGTGGTGAGACCAGACATTGTCAGTTGTGGAGACCAATTGGTAAAGTAGGTGTGGAGCTATGCAGCCTGGAGAGGGGAAACAGGATGGAGCCAAGATGGTACCTGTGCAAGCCCCAAGGATTCCAAAATGGCAAGCGCACATACAGTTCACTGAAAGATTCTACACCATGCCACACACTGGAGGCCAGATTCAAACATTACAGCAGTCCTCTGTTAGTAAACCTATCAACAGATGCAGTGTCCGGCTCTGTGCAACATAAGCCCATTGGGGGCTGGGACATAAACACTATGGGCACTAAGGGAAAGGCTCAAATACTCAGAACCCTTAAGGTAAGCTGTAACTACAGGGAATAAACTCCACCTTACCCATTTCCCCCCACCACAGCATCCCAAGAGGGGTCTTCAGTGACAAGGTTTCACTGAAGCCAACCATGATGCTGGACCTGTAATGCACAATGCAGGAGATCCACAGGTGACAACATGGGTGTCAAAGCAAAGGGTTCAGTGGCTAAGCATGTTACAGGCCATCCCTGCATCTTTTGATATGCCAGTGTCCAATCACCTGAAGGTAGCTGCATAACCCGATGGTTAAATAATTTACCTCCCTGTGTCCTGTGATTTATGATTGAAAAAATAGGATTTTTGTATGATCTGTAAAATATTTTCTTAGAGTCTAAGTTCCGACGCCCACTGTGTTTATGATCATACCCTTGGTACAGCCAGCTAAGGCATTGCTGGTAGTAGGAGGGGTTATGTTGGGGCGGTCTATAGCTTTGTTTGTCAGCGTCCAATTCCCCTGTAGGCAGCAGTACAACCCAATGGTTATAAACTGTGTCCCTTAATGGATTCCAACAAAATGGTTTTACAGAGAGTACAAAAATCCTGGTACTAGGTTTATTTTATGAGACAATTCAAACTTTCCCTTTGGGTGCAGTTCTTCCTCTCAGACTGTGATGGTCAGGAAGAGAAGTTAGCTTATTAATCTCGCCAGCAACATTAAGTGTATTTAAACGTTTTTTATTTGTTTTTTTTTTAAACACACCCTATGCATTGCCTTTAAACATGTGTGATACTTTGGTAGTACATTGACTCTTTGTAATTCATACACAGACTGTTCACATTGTATTTTCTCACATTACCTTTTGAGCTTCAAGTGCAGGTCTGATTTCCTCTGGAGGGTGGGAGATTTTGGCATCCTCTCGAGGAACAGGGGACCTTTCTGGAGAAATCCCTTTCCTGGTACTGAGGTTATTGGAAGAGTTCCTATCCACCAAATGTAGGAGCTCCATCTGTCGCCTGACTTTACTTTCCTCCCTCTGTTTCTGCAGTCCTCTGGGGTACCTCTCAGAAGCTGGGACATACTTCTTTGGAGGCCTGTTTCTGTTCCAGTCAGGTTTTCTTCCAGGTTCCCTGGTCTGCTTTTCTGTTCTTGCATACTGGTCGTAAATGTCATCAATGATGTTTTCTTTTGTAGATTCACTTCTGTCTCTCTGAGACTTTACCTTCTTCCCGGGCTGTTCAGCCTTTGTCTGTTGGTAGGTGAATTCCACAGGTATATCAGGAGAGGCATTCTGATGTTGTCTCCAGGAAGCCCCATTAGAAACAGATTCAGGCTTTAACCTAGTATCCAGATCATCTGTGAAGAACAAATGTACACATAAGCTCAAACATTGGAAAGGATCAGAACTGAGCTTTAGGAATACATCTTACCAATACATCAAGTATTACAATTCCTATTATATCACTTAAACAAAAACATTTATACCCATGCTGATAATAAACTCAAGACCCAAGATGGAATTTTAAAAAGCTTCCTGGTCATCTATAAAGCATTTTTTTGTTACACATTTGTCAGGATAAAGAAAGAAGTGGAGTTTTTACAAAAACAGTGTACCAAATAAAAATATCATATGGCCTTACCCTTGTTGGCCATAGTTCTCTTCAGAGTCACAGGAGGACAAATTCTAATGTCCACCAGTGACCCAAAACTCAGTGTATAGCGTGCCATGCCGCAGCCAGGACGGATCCCGACAATACTGTTGAGATCCACCCCGCTGGCTGATTGACAGCGGGCTCTGCCTATGTAGAAGCAGAGCCAGCTGTGACCCGCCCCTTCCTCCATTCAGCGCTGGAAAAATGCGGAGGGGGGAATCCCTGCAGGGAGAGGATCGTGAAGTGCGCGATCGGCAGTATGTGATCACTCAGGTCTCCATCAATAGAGCCGACCTGCGACAGCTTCAGTGTCACAGGTCGGCTTGAATTATGGGGGTGAGTGTTTCTCCTTCAAATATATAAACAGCATTACGGTAGGCAATAAGTTATTGTCACCGTTACAATTATTATTAGGGTTACAGATGTATGCTGACGCTGCTAAATTCAGACTGGGCATCAATAACTGCTGGTCATTAAAGGGTAGAGTTAACCTGTGTGTTGCCTATGCAGGGTTTGGAAACTGGTTCACATGAATTTAGCCCTACCAATGTACACACTTTACCTGCCATTCTGTGGTCTGTGAGAGCAAAAAATATACAGTAATTTCATTTATAGGAAGCATGTGGCTTTTCCTGTCATCTAAACATACAGTACTGGACGCAGGAACGGCCAATTGGCATTCTCACAAATTGCAACATGGGGGGCAATAGAACAGTCCTTTGTCTGCTAAAGCTAAAATGAGGATCAACTCCAGCTGTCGCCTGTTGGACGATAGAGAAATTGGTTTTGCACATAATAAGCAGTTTATACAAACAGTTCTCATCTTCCACATAAAACAAAACAAAACACTACCTGTCTGAACTGCTGTGTCTCTCCTGGGGGAGAGTAATGCTGTAACACTGGGTTTCATAACACTGTTGGACCCATTCCGAGAGCCCTCCGGTATGTTCTCACTGGTGCGACTAGCAGCCCTGCTGGTATCCAAGTGGACGGCTTCACCTGAACAAAGATCAGATCAACAATGGAAATATTATATGGGATATCACACTAACACAAATATAGACTTTACAAGTGGGATACACACAGTACAATCAGAAACAATGACAACAAGCCTTATGTATTAAAAGGAGAACTATGAGGTGAGTGCTTTTCACTCACCTCATAGTTCTAGCCGACCTGTGACAATGAGACTGTCACAGGTCGGCTCAGTAGATCGGGAGGTGAGCGAACACATTCCGGCGTTCGCTCACCTCTCGATCCTGTCACGGCTCTCTGCCGTGACAGGGGAGGGGCTGGATTCTCCTCTCCCGCTCCTCCAGCGCTGACTGGCGGATCGGATGGGGGAGGGGGCGGGTACAGCTGGCTCTGCCTCTAGATAGTCAGAGCCAGCTGTCACTCACGCAGCTGGGTGGATCTCGACAGTAATGTCGGGATCCGTCCCAGCTGCGGCGTCTCAGTATACCGCGAGCTGAAGCGCGCGGTATACTGAGCTTTAGGTGACGGGAGAACGCTAGTTTGTGTCCTCCCGTTACACTTAGGAGAACTATGGGGGAAAGCACTGACCCCATAGTTCTCCTTTAAGCAACTTTTATGCAAGTTCACCTTCACTTTAAATAAACCTGATAAATCTATACTGGACCCATGAATGATGAAGCACAGATGTTTTTTCAGCCCAGAAATTGTAATAAATAGCTTGCTATCCCCTAGCTAGACCCGAGTATCATTCTGCACACATAACAGCATAGATTACCTTCTGCGTTCTTCTGCAGGTTGGAGATATCATGTCCTTTTTTCAGTAAATGCCGCAATAGCTGCTCCTGTTTCAGACGCTGAGCCTCCTCCTGGGCCCTCTGCATACTTTGATACAGTTCTCTGGTCTTCAAGTTTACAACATCCTGTAAAAGAAACATTATAGAACGTCTCTTCTTCCACTGGTGATGCTTCAACTGAAATGCCATTTAACAAAAAATACACGCACACAAAGGGATGTATAATTACATTGCATGAACCTAAATCATGACTTTAGAAACACAATGCACTCAGTTTGTTGCTGCATATGGCCATGCTTCCTAGTCTCAGACTATTAGTTCTGAACTAAAAAAAAAAAAAGTTCCCATGGTGCAATATCAGCTTTTAAGGTGTTCCGTGCATGAAGCAGTGGTGAGGGCGTTCACGAGTATGAGTCAGTCAGATGGTGAACTTTCAGTGAAGCTGCCCTTTATTCTTCGGTGCATTATCGATTAGTTGGTTGGATTCCGTAGCTCTCTCCTCCACGCTGGAAGGAGGGCACAGCAAGCAGTGAGCGGGTGTAATAGCCAGACTGCTATTGGCTATTGCATCAGCCCCACTACCTGCTGTATTTACATTCAGCTGCCGTCTGCGGAATCTTGCCCCGGCAGCTGTCATTCCCTGGCTGGAGCTATTTAAGCGCCATGGGCTTACTATACAATCATTTTTTTTTAAAGTGGGGGGGGAAAGTAATTTTTGGTTTCGGCCTGACAAAATTCTGCTGCGTGAGGTGCGTTACAGTGCCATTCAATTCAATGGCTTTCCAAACACGCCGCCTACCCATTGTGCTTGCCTTCACTGGAACTCATGGTACCCCAATGCTGTGCGTTCCAGTGCAGTGCAAAAAATTGTGCATGCAGTTTCATTAAGTAAACTTTATGATGGTAACACTGCATTTGTGTATTTCATTTTAAATTAAGGATGGTACGTAATATTTTTTTATGAGATTCATTCAAAAAATAAATAGTCCAATTAATCGATTATGAAAATCATTAGTTGCAGCCTAATCTGGATGATGTGGCAATGTCACTCCTGCAGTACTAGGTCACATATAGTAGTGGTTTACTGCTTACTTGTTAACAGTGAGCAACAGATTACAATCAATCAATGAATAGATTGCCATCATTAGTCCTTGCTACAGTAGTGCATGAAAAGGGACTGATCAGATCTATCCACACTGGTCTCTAGGAAGCACAATCCTGTGAGGGACACTAGACACCACTACAAGATTGCAGAACTTGTATTTCATTTCAAACCTATAAAATATATGCAGCTTTTGTCTGCAAAAAAAACTCCTCTCACTTCAATGTTCTGCTAAGGATTTACAGTAACCGATTCTGTCACAACACTAAAAAAGAAAAAAACTCAGTTTACACCCAAGCTGAAAGATCTGCTTCTGTGTAAATAAAACAAGTCCCAGCTGTCAAATTGACCGCCAAGAATAGTCTGCAAGTGCTGCAAGAGTTGCAGGGGAGGAGGAGGGGACGGGCGTACTGCACATGCTTTAAGTATTTTGATAACGTGTCCATGGCTGGTTAATTAAAGTATGTCTAAACCCAAAACCAGCAGATAGCACACTTCCTGTCTCTGGGTGGCTACACTAGCTCCTCCAATGTATGTGGTCACAGAAATGACAAGAACGCTGCGCTTCTGGCAAGATCAACACGTATTTTCTGTTCTTACTGAAAATGTTCTCAGCCTGAAAATGAAAAACCACAACAAACATCTATGGACTGGTAATCTGCAGTATATTACATTTTAGTTTCTGGGTTTAGATATCCCTTAAAGGGGAACTATGAGTGAAAATCACTCATCCTCATAGTTCGAGCCGACGTGTGACAATGAAACTGTCACACGTCGGCTCAAAAGATCAGAAAGTGAGTGAACACATACCGTTGCTCGCTCACTTCTCGATCTCCCTGCAGACAGCCGTGATGCACTCCCCTCTCCGATCCTCCAGCGCTGACTGGGGGAGGGGGCGGGTACAGCTGGCTCTGCCTCTACATAGGCAGAGCCAGCTGTCACTCACGCAGCTGGGTGGATCTCAACAGTAATGTCGGGATCCATTCCGGCTGCAACGGTCTCAGTATACCGCAAGCTGAAGCTCGCTATATACTGACCTTTGGATCACGGGAGGACGCTAGTATATGTCCTCCCGTAACCCTTAAGAGAACTATGGGGGAAACCAGTTACCCCATAGCTCTCTTTTAAGTCAATGTTCCTCCAAGTTTTAACCTTTAACTCCTCTTTTTTCTTTGCAAACTGATACATTTAGTGAGAATGTCCTCCCATTATAACAAGGCTATGTTTAGGAGCAGAGCTGGTAATGACAGCCCGGGTACATCACCGAGGGTATATTTGGCCTACTGCACATAATGGCACAGGAGTACATCTGGGTTTGTAAGAACATAATGCATAAGTCCTGCAAAATACCAATAGCTGCCCAAGACATTCGAGTATAAGTGAATAAGTGCCAGTAGAGAATTCCTGACAGACTAAAAAGCAAAATGCTGCCATATACAGATGGCGTTGCATACCTCTTTTTGTTTCTGTCGAAAGATATCTTGCTCATACTGCTTTTGTATCTGCTCCTGTTCTTTTGCCAGCCGCCGCTCTTCCTCTTGTTCCTCCTGCTGTCTTTGCTCATCTTCCAACTGTTTTCTCTTACGCTTTTCTTCAACCTGAGCCGCTATAGCTTTCTGGGAAGTAGGACGGTAGACAAAATGTAAATCCTCACATAGCTGACAAGTCCAGCCAATGCTAATAAGTGGGCAAGTGCTGCCTTCTACTCTTCAGAGTGGATCTAGCAGAAATACATCAAAAGACCAGAAAGTGCCAAAATAACCACATCCACTAACCAGTAAATGGGATATCCATCATACTGGTGTATACTCTAATATACTTCCTGTTGCAAGTGACATGAGGAACAGCTGAGTGTACCTGGATGCTCATGCAACAATACTGCTACCTGGCAAATGGGTCAATAGGGACTAAACATCCTGTTGCCTGCAAGTGGTATAAATATCTTGTATAATAGCGAGCAAATTAAGCTTCTCATTTCCTGTCAGTATAGGATTCTTGCACCATTAGGGAAGGGGTATGCTTTACTCTCACTCCACAGTTATTTCTATTACTGCACATCCCTCCAATCTAACCCCTTCTGCCCAGTTGTCTTCCACTCTCCATCTTTGCTTCATCAGCTTTTTAGCTGGTCCCAAGGTGACATTAGGGATCTTACAGACCCCAATTGTATATTGGTTATCACATAGGGGGATTTCTAGCACCCTATGTGAAAGCAATCAAGATAAGTGTAAAAAAAAAAGTTTCACATGAAAAAAAAACCGAAAACATGTTTAAGTCCCCCGCCCCTGCATGCACGCAATTATAAACGTAAACGTCGGTGCGCCTACGTTTGAAAACAACAATTACGCCACACATGTTACATATTGCTGCAAACAGCTGAGTGAGAGCAATAATTTTAGAGCCATTAATCACTGATAACACTAAACTGATGAGTTGTAAAAGCTTTTAAAACTGGGTAGCTGCTACATATTCTGTCTGCTCCAGTTCTGATAAATTTCTTTCCATATGCTGTATTAGAGAAAAAGCCAGATCTCTTATGGTCATGTTCCCAATGTATGATGAGCATCCTCATTAGCCTACAGAGTATTGAGAAAAGAATGAAGGGGTGAACTGCACAGTGAAGGAAGGGATGGAGTGCACAGTGCCTGGCAGATCTGGTCACTCTTGCTCTAATCCAGCACTCCAAATGTTGAAGGGGATTTATGGCAGCTTTACAAAATATATTTTCTGTCCTCAATATGGTCAGGGATAAAGATATGAACCGTCTATTCTGCCTGCAGGAGGGAAGAACAATTCATACATGAAGCAGACTATGATTCACACCTGATGCTCCAGCTGCTTCTGCCTCCTCCGATCTCTTTCATCAATCTGTGCAGGATCTAACAGGGCTGTCATGGTACGTAGAAACCTAAAAGAGAAAACAAAAACATATATATAATAATACTACTACTAATAATAATAATAATAATATTAATATGTATATGTATATGAGCAACTACACCAGATATTTGAAAAAGTTGCAAGGTAATGGAAATTTAAAAAAAAGAAGACCTAAAAGAAATACTGGGGTAGGTCTATTGATGCAAAAAATTAAACAACGGGGTTAGTTTTTAAATTTCTTTGCATGGCCAACCCCATTCTGAAGTTGCCATTAGTGGCATATGCTTGAAAGAAAACCAGTCACATTTGGGCTTATGCAGGAATTCTAATATCAAGTCTTCTATTTTGTTTGAGGTACCTATAAATTACTAAATGTTTAGTTTAAGATTCAGATAAATTCCAGGTGCATCACAACAAAAAGGTGTTGAAAGACTTACAAGCAGTCAGATAGTGAGTAAAAAAGCCTGCCTAGTGCCAACATGCTGCAGAGAAGGACCTTTGGTCCTTGTAGAAGCGGTGGTCTCTCTGCAGAGTTCTGACATGCTAAACAAAGAGTTTGCACACCTTTTGTTCTGATTCATCTACAATATATTTAGCAGAGACTATTTCTATATAAAGGG